GCCTCGTCTGGCCAGCTGTCCCCTGGCAAGTACAGGAGAGCCTGGGAATGGACTGGGTCGGGGTGGTGGTGTCCCTGGAAAACTTCTCTTGTTCCCCTTGGGCCCTCCATGCCCGCTGTGGAAGGTCCATGGTGACTGTCAGCTGTCCGTGTCAGAGAGGTGAGCAGGGAGAGCGAGCGTTCCAGGTACCTAGGAAGGCAGCTGCTTCATTAAAACACGAACATCTTAATCCGGGGTCCACCAGCTCTTGGTCCTAGGCCTTCCTTCCTCGGGTCACACAGTTTTGATAATACTGTCCCTGTTTTTATCCGACAGCCCTTGTCCCATGCACCAACGTGGAGTCTGTGCCAGGGCAGACTGGGGCCCAGTGGGGGAATCAGTGGCACACGTGGGCACCTGGATACCAGCGTTCCATCTCTGCCCCGCAGAGCTTCAGTCAAGGGGGAGAACTCGATCTAAGTGGCTCAGGGCCCCGTGGCTATTAGAGACGGTGTGGCACCTTTAATATTCCTTAAAGCGAAATCTCCTATTCTTGCAAGGAGTCTAATAAAAGTCACCTGGACTTAGAAGAAGGCATTCAGGGAATTCTGCCGGAGCTTCCTGCCTGTGCCGGTCATCAGGGCTGGTCACGGACATTCCGTTTCTCCCCCTTTGAGCACACACCTGCCTGCTGCCCTGGCAGTTGAGCGTGACATGCCCCTCGCTTCGGCCAGTGAGATGTGAGCAGAAACGACAGGGATCGCTCCCGGCAGAAGCGCTGAGAACCTGTGTGTGCCTCTTTCATTCCCTCTTCCAGCCTCGGCTGAAGCAGAAGTTGGGGTGCAGCTTCTATCGGCCTGGGTCCCCAAGCGAGCAGAACACTTCCTACCTGACACAGCAGCACGAGCAAGAGACAAACCTTTGTTCTGTAATTAGGATCGGGGGGCTCTTTGTTCCTGCCGCTCAAGCTGCTCACTCTGACGGATACAGTGGGCCTGGGTCCTGCGACCAGCTGGCAACCTCCAGCTCTGACTCAGCCTCAACTTCTGGCTTCCAGATCTCCACTAGGCTTAGCTGAGCTCTCACAGACACGCAGAGCACTTCAGCTTCCCTAACACAGAACGGCCTCTGTTTTACGGATTAAGACTGGTATTTGCTGCTCTAAGCCCCCAGTGACCCAGCCAAGCTCTCGGTTCTAGTGCTGCCCTGGCTCACGCCCCAGGCGTGGAGACACGTACGGCTTCCCCAGCGCCAGCACCTGAACAAGACCCTTCCTGCCGAAGCGCCCCATTCTAGCTAGGCTGACCATGTAATGTATTATCCAAAGTGGTCCTGAGGGTGAAGGGGGACTGGGGCGACAGGCAGGGACCATCCTGTTCTGGGCAAGCAGGGACACCCGGGCCCCCGAACTCTACTCGGAGCGTCTTTACAGTATGAGTCTAGGGCCATGGGAAAATTCCTAAAGGCATTATCTTCGGACAGATCACCGTATCCAGGAAATGCGTCTGAAGGCCCAAGAAGCAGCACGTGGTGAGATTAATGTGTTTATCAGAGGGCGCACTCTGCTCTCACTGTCCTGTGTGGCGCTGGGCGGGACGAGCGCAGCTGTTTCCCCGCGCGGGCTCATGCGAATCGCAGCGGACGTCCAAACAAACCAAGAGCCCAATGCAAAATCCAGCCGTGGAGCAGGAACACCCTGCAGAAGCATTAGCAGCGCCTGCCTCCCACCCGTCGGCCTGGGAGTCATTTACGAGGAAGAAGCACAAAATCAAGAAAACAGTCCGAGCAGCGAGAACTGCCTAAGAGAAGCCACAGTCAGTGCGCCTGCAGCGACCACGGCTCCCCCTCCCGGGCACGGGAGGCACGGTAATGATTTTCAAAGGTAAAGGGACGCACCACGGGAGACGCCTGAGTCCCTCTCTGCGGCTATTCCGCGTTTCCCTTTGCTCTGTGAGACCCCAGGACGCTAACTGGTTCCTTCAAAATTTCCGTGGCTTACGCTCAAGAAGTAGATCATGATTTTTGTAGAAGACTGCGTTTCTCTGTCTGTCCCAATCTCCGCTTCCCCGCCTTCTTCATGTGATGTGGGTTTCCCATCAGAGGACTGGTCACGTGACCTGAGCGAGCCCGAGGACCCCCAGGCCCCGAGCTCAGGTCCAGGGATGGGAATGAGATCCAAACACGACCGCAGTGTGGTTTTGCTGAGGCTGAAACCGTCACAGGGCACGTTAGTTTCCTAGGGCCACCGCAACGAATTCCCACAGCTGGGTGGGTTACAACAACAGGAGGCCAGAAATTCAAACGCAAGCGCTGGCAGGGCCACGCTCCCTCCGAAGTCTCTGGGGAGGAATCTTTCTGTGCCTCGTCCTGGTGTCTGATGGTTTCAAGAAATCCTTGGCTTGTAGCCCCATCCACTCTCATCTCTGCCTTAGTCGTGGCGTGGCCATCTTCCTTCCGTTTCTGCGGCTGCGTGTTCTCTCCGGGGGTGTCGGTGTCTCTTCTCTTCTTCTAAGGACACCAGTCTTGTCGGATGAAGGGCTCACCCCACTCCAGTGCCTCTTAGCGTTAGCGCATGCCTTAATCATATCTGCAGGGACACTATTCCCTAATAAGCACATTCACAGGTGCCAGGCGTAGGACTCCAACATCCTTCGGTGGGGGACACAACTCAACCCACAACACTAGATAAGAGAGGGTCCTTCTCACCATGACTGCAAGTTCAAAGCCACGTACGCCTGCCCATCCACCTGAGAAGGAAGTAGACAGAGCCAGGAGATGGAGAAACACCAAGAAAACAGGGTCCTAATGTTACTGAATGCCCGGAATGCAGCCGTACCTGAACCCCAGTCCACCTCTTGGACTTACCAGTAACATGACCAGCAAAACATCTCTCTCATTTAAATATATTTGGGCTTGGCCTCTGTTTTGTACAACAAAGAGTTCCAATTAATATACACACCAATAACCAACGCTATGTAATGTGGGTCCAGATAGTTCCCCACATCGGGATGGGGAAAGGGGGTGGGGCATACAGGAAAGACAGGCCACGAGTTGACAGCTGTTGAAATTAAGTGACAGGTAGATAGGAGCTTATTATCATATGATTTTACCATTCTCTCTATGTTTACACATGTTTGAAATCTTCCAAAATAAAAAGTTAAATCAAATGTTAAAAAAAAGGACCGCCCCGCTCCCCCAGGACTCACGAAGTCCAGCGCACAATCAGGGCAAACAGAAGAACTGGAAGCACAGGTCTCCTCTGTGGGACGCGCAGGGCTTCTGGTGTGAGGCCTGCGTCTTCCAGGCTGGACAGGGTCCGGCCTTGAATACCGGTGGCTGGCAGATGACCACCCAGAACTGAGCAGGGGGGTTGGGCAACGTGGCTCAGCTCCCGGGGAGACACTGGGCGGCCTAGTGCCCTGCGGGAGGGATTCGCCTTTCCTCCCAGCAAATCGCGGTAAAGCGGCCATCACCCGCAGCAGGCAACAGAGCAAGGGAGACGCTCAGACAGAAGACAGGCTTACTCTGCGGTAAACGCTCACCGACAAGCACCGTTGTTCTGACACGGCGTATCTCACAGTTTACGGAACATCCATGATTCGGTGCCTCGGTTTAGGCCAGAGTCACCGCCTCTTCTGAGCTCCTGCCTCCCTCCTGGATTAGATTCTCCACCCCAGCTGCCCATGAAAATCACTGGGAATCTTAAAAATACCCGGAAGCCCAGGCTGCATCCCAGACCAACTAGATCCAGGCCTGGGGGCGGTGACGCAGCGGCTTTAGGTCTGGGAGGCCCTTCAGTGCTCTGTGAGCAGCCAGGGCTGAGAACCCCTGCCTGGGGGAGACCCAGAGCCATGAGGGGCCGCTCGCTTCGCACACGCGCCTCACCTCTCCAGGCACCTCCTGCTACTGGTCAGACCAACCCCACTTGCTGATCTACTCCCGGGGTGGGTCTCAGTCAATCCAGAATCTGGTTTCTTCCTCTTCAGAGTAGCTTCCCAGGGCTGCCGTGACAAAACACCACAGACTTGGTGGCTTAAAACACAGAAACTCATTCCCAGAGTTCTCCCCAGGACCTCCCACCGAGGACCACCTTCCACGGCGGGGCTCCCCCCGGGCACTGATTCTGTAGTGGAATCAGCACCACTCGCCACCGAGCCCTCCCCAGGACAGGCTCTCCAGGCCCCAGGCGTGGCCGCGGGGCTCGCCCTCCGGGCTGCAGCCAAGCCCGCCACCCCAGCACTGCCTCGGGCTGCGGCTGAGCAGAGCCCCCAGCTGGACGCTGGGGGCAGCTGGACCCGCCCCTCCCGGCCAGCCTGGCCGGCAGAACTGAGCCCACGAGCTTCGCCTGACACAGCACCCCTGCGGGGCCTTTAGGGCCCACCCTCTCTGTGTTGGGAAGGAGAATCCCAGAATTCCCCACTTCTCAGTCCAAAGCCACGTTACCCTCGGGACTGCAATAGAGGAAACTGGCCCCAGGCTCTAGGACGTGCAACAAGCCCTCCCGGGGTCAGGTCGGCCATCGTTCTGGAAGGACGGGACCCCGGGCCCACGGGCCGCGGCTGCGACCACGCTCACCCCTGGAAACAGCACGCCGGGCTCCCCCAGCACAGAAGCCAGACAGCCGTCAAGCCTGCAGCTCTCCCTGATCTCTCAGCCACCACACCAGCCCCTGGAGCGAGGACCACGGAGAAGGGAGCCCCACCCCGTCACTCCTCACAGCCCTCGCTTGAGCTTCCTGCTCCAGCCCGTTCCTCGGACCCCGTTCTGCCCCTGCACCCTGCCGCCCTCAGGTGATGCTTGCTTCTGTCAAAGCCTCATCCATCGGCCCGATGGTCCAGATGTCACCTGAGCTCCACTTCCCTCGGTGAAGACCCCTACCTGCTCCCCCTTGCCCTGGGGCCACACGTCTCCCTTATCGCCGCTCACAGGGCCACACCGATTCCTCCAGCGACCACCAAAAGGCGGCAGGGTTGGAGAGCAGACACAAGCAGTTCCTGTGGACAGGGCTGGGCTAGTCTTACCTTCTGCAAATGGTTCCCATTCATAAAACCGGCCCATGAACGGCTTGTTGTTGTAGGACGCACACTGCACCTCCCAGATGCTCCTGCTGCTTTCTGGACACACCTAGCAAAGCAGATAGTAAACACACAGTTGGCGTCCGTATCTTTCTCGGCCCCCGCCAGACCCCAGGAGACCTCTCCGAACGGTACAAAATGCCAGTCCTCCTCCACCGAGTCTACGGTTTCTAAACCTGTGCTGATCACGTACATCCAAAATTTTAAATGCAGATGCCACGGCTTTACTCCAAGTTGACGAAATCAGAATCTCTGGAAGGACACCAAATTCTTAAGAAGCTCCCACGTTCGGTTTCTGCATACCATGCTTTGAAACCCCACCTAAACCTTCTGCACCCGACGACTGGTCTACCCCCCCAACCCCGCCCAGAGGCCATCCATTCCCATCTGTTTGACTTACTGTCTGTGCCATTCCCAGGCCTGGGACAGTGTTCACAGCAAACGGCACGGTGCCCTTCCCAGGCGCAGGCACTACTTTAAGTCTATTTCTCATATTAACTCACTTAATCCTCATGCTGACCAGTGGGACTGGTATGATAATTTTAGAGTTGTTTTTTCACAGATGAGCAAACTGAGGCACAGGGCAGCCACACAGCTAGTGAGGACAGAGGCTGGCTGGAACCCCAGGAAGTCTGGTGCCCACCAGGAAGTGCCCCTCAGTGTCCTCTCCGTCTTGTCTAAATTTTCTCCACCGTCTAGCCTGGGAGGTCCTAGCCTTTGGCGTGCCAAAGAGTCACCCGGAGACCTGGTGGGAAATGCAAACTCCTGGATCGCTCGGTCAAGGATCATCATTCCGTCAGTCTGGCAGGAGGTCCAGGAGTCTGCATTTGGCCAAACTATCTAGGTGATGCTGATGCACTCCACTACTCAGAGAAAATCCCCAGATCCCTCCAGCTTGCTTCTTGATTATTCATGAATGGTAAGTACGAGCAAAACACGACGCCAATGCGAAACGAGATGCTAAGATCAGAGTCTCTAATTCAAACGTGGATGAAGTTGGATTCGGCTTTTTTAAACCTTGCAACACTCTGTTTAAGTGTGAGGTGCGTGTTTTAATCATCAGAAGGGAAAGGAATCTGGCCCCTTAGGTGCGAAAGCCCTGCACAGAAGGAGGCTCTGGAATAAGCCGCTACCACGACAGCCTGAGCCCTGAGGGGTCGAGGAAGAAAGCCGCTGCCGGCGTCAGAAACGCCAGGGCTCGTGGACGACGAGGGAGCAGAGGGCGGAGGGAATCCAGGTGGAAGGGAAACATCCCCTGCTTGAGAAAGGGCAGCCGGGGAGGCCGCTGGGACCAGCGCTCAGGGTGGCCGTAACCCGCTGCAGCCTGAGCCAAACCATATGGAGCAAGAAGCCGTGTGAAGTGAACATACTGGAAACTGGAGGGGGAGAAAAAGGGCTGGCTGGATGGGCAGGGTGGGCCGAGCGCTGACAGCCAGAGAGGAGCCGTCGGGCTGGGAAAGGCTGTCCCCGCGGGCTCTGGAAGCCAAGCTGCTGGCGGTCCCACAGCAGAGCCGTGTGGTTTCCAGCAGCGGCAGCTGTCCCCACGACGAATCTGGGGTTAGGACGCTTTTTACAACCCTTTGACCCGAACCAAAGTTCAGCTGGGACAGGCTCAGCTGGGCCCCTTGAGAGCAGACACCATCCTTGCAATGAGAAGGAATCCCTCAGGGGCTGGTTAAAAATACAGATTCTCGGGCCTCACCCCAGTGGAGGGCGGAGAAGAGGGCCAGGCGCATACGCTCCGTGTGCTCCCTCCGTGATGCTGGTGCAGCCGGCCTGGCACCAGACGAGGCAGCAGCAGTTCAGAGCCCCTCCCAAGCCTCAGTCGACTCCAAATTATTTAACACGCAATCATAGCGTGAGAGAAGAAGAGAAGCGAATCCAACCCCTCCAATTTACAGATGGGGAAGCAGAGTCCTGGAGGGGCGGGGCACCTTGCCGAAGGTCCGACGGCGACATGGAGGCCGAGTCCGCAGCACTGCCCGCCACCCCTCCCAGCCCTAACTAGAAACGAGAGGGCCGCTGCCGGGTGGCGGGTTCTGCAACGGAAAGAGGCCAGATCAAGTGGGCCAAATGTCCTGCTCCTCAAATAACCACGCCTACGTAGAGCCAAGCGGCTCTGATCGAGGCTCCCGCCAGAAGCCACCCTAAGGAACCTGGTGGCAGTTACCAGAAATGGAAGCTGCAGACCACAGAAAATTGGCCAGTCTATTTAACTTCTTTCCATCAGCAAAACAGTGCCAACAGGCTGGATCGCGAACCACATCTTCAGAATCATTCTGAATTGCTCAGTGTTTGAAGATATAAGTGTCTATTTCATGACGTGGAAAGCAGCCCACAATCCGTTAAGTGACAGAGTGTTGAAATGATTATGTGCGTGGGGTGTGGGGAGGGTGTGTGGAGGGAGGTTGAACGCGTTATCTCTGGAAGGTGGGGCGTAGCCGCCTCCTTCCCACAAGTGACTTCCGGCTTATCTGTATTGTCTAACTTTTCTGCAGTAAATACACACAGTGTTTAAGTAATAAAAGTGTATCAGTGTTTTTAATGCTAGTGCCTGGTGTTCTTATCTATATCCGTATGCATCTGCCAAGTCAACCAGCCACCTGTGATGGGTCATTCAGGATACCCTGTCCTTGGCCAACAACAAGCTCGTTACATTTGAGTACGACCCAGTTACCTCCTGAGGCCAAAGGGCTTAATGTGGCATCAGACACACAGTGAGGGTCAGGGGCTGAGGCAGCAAAGCCACCTACAGAAGCCAGGAGGCAGCTGAGCCCAGAGGTTGACCACGGCATCCAGCGAACACCTCGCGTGGGAAGGTGCAGCAAGAGGTAACGAGGTGCCCTGGAAGATGGGCGTCACCCTGTACGTGACCTTGAGCAGGGCCTCCCATGATGCCTGCTGAGCTGCCAGTTAAAGGCAGGCCACTACTTCCTGGGGAGGAGAGACCTGGCCAGAGAAACACAAGTCTCACAGGGTCCAGATCTGGAAGTGCGTTACCAAGACAATTGCGGTGCAGCGAGGAAGGCAGGAGCCTGGGGTGATACTGATGAGGGTGCTGTTAAGAACAGCTAAGTTTTACTGGTGCTCACTAAATGTCAGATTCTCCACCATACGATGTATCTATAATTGCTCATTTAATCTGGACAACCACTATTACACCCATTTTACAGATGAGGAAGCCAAGGCAAAGAAAAGTTAAATGAACTGCCCAAGGCCACAGGGCAAGTGATGAAATCAGTACTTGAATCGAGAACCCATGACAGTAACCACAATGCCATGGTGCCCGTCAAGAGTGCGTGGACAGCCAAGCTAATCTGCAGCAGGTCCTCAGACAAGCGGGCCTCAAACTCCCTCTTGCCTATTGTCAGGAGGCCTGGAGGCCGAGGTCAGATTCCGCCTCTGAGGTCCACTGAAGTGGCCCCAGCAAAAAGGATCGGGAGCCGCGGACTGAGGATGAAAGCTGAGGCGGGCTGGGGAAATTCTGTTTCATGTCCCTTTTGTAGATTACATCTGTTTGTACTTGTCCTACTGTTATCAGCCTGAGATCGCCTCTCATCTTAACAGCCTCCCAGAAGTTAAAACCTCCAGGTTACGGATCACTTTACATCTGTTACACTTTCAGTGGGTTGTTTCCCGATGCCACAGGCTGAGTCACCCCCGCCTCATCGGTAATTGTCGCCACATTACACTGTGAGTTGGCTTTGGGAAGACTTCCTGCAGACAGCTGATCCTTTCCATGGGCACAGCTTCTCGTAATCTTCAGAAACTGAAACAAGGGAAAAGCCTCGTACGTGGGGATCAGGGTCATTCAGGATAAAGCCAGCTAGGACCGGAGCTGTACAGCCAAAGAGCGCCCCTGAGAGACGGCCGCCCTGCAAACGACCCCCTTCCACCCCAAGGCGGGGGGCAGTCCCACAGCTCTCTTATGGGAAGAGATATAAAGATGTACTTTGTTTACATACGTAGGATGAGGTGAATCCTCACGAAGCCCTCGGGCCCTATCCAAAGTTCCATCCAGGCAACTGCCCGGAGCTACAATGAGTCACAAAGAGTATTATGGAAACTCTGGCTACTTTCCTAGTGACCCTGTGTAATCTGAGATGACAAGGCCCTGCACCTAACTTCACTGCTCAGAGGCCACTGTCGGCGGTCACACAGTTACCTTTCAGTGATTAACTACTGTCAGTTTCCCAGAAGCCTGGAGACCATCATCCCCCATGAAGACGACATCAAGGAACATGACGCTAGGGTCTGCCTGAGTCCAGCAAGCATTTTTTTTTTGCCTTTGCATCGCTCTGGATTCAATCAAAAGACCAGCTACCATAGCAACACACGATGTATTTAACATCAGCGCAGTGAAGAAGTCTAAAAAAAGAAACCTAGAAAATGTCCCTGCGCTGCCATGAGAAAGTGGCTATGTGACCTTGGGCAAAGCACTTTGCCCCCTTCAACCCAAATGACTGCACTTCAGGAACGAGCCCTGCACCACTTCCGCCCCCCCCGCCCCCGCCCCGGGACTTCTGTGAGGAGTAAGTCAGTAACACACTCAAGTTTCCAGCTCGCAGTAACGCTCAGTGCATGTCAGCGGGGCTGGAACCTAAGAAGACGTCAGAGATGAATCCAGCTAAGTTCCTGACGGGTCGATGTCAGACGTCCTGGGCACACGTTCCCTTTCCTGCTCTGCTGCAGATGGAAGGTGGGCTTTGTTCCCCAGCTGCAGAGTCACACGACCATGAACTAAGATGTCTTACAACTCATCCGGCACAGTTTCCCAAATATGTCTAATTTCTGCTTTCTCAAGTCCCTTGGAACAAACTCAACCTCGCAAAGACTCTTCTGCCACCCCCACTGCTCCCAGGGCTCCTCTGGACCGTCAGTGAACTGGTTCATCCAGAAGAGTCGGGTGAAAGCTTTGGACTTGAAAAACAAAACACAAAGGACTGAGGTTTTCTTAGTTCTCAAACACGTATTTTTCCCACCCAAGTTCATAATGATCTCCTAGAGAAAGGAGCTGCCCTCTCATTCAATACGTACGTCAAAGACCCC